TTTTTTTTTTTTTTTTTAACTGTTCCATTAAGATATAATTCACATACCATACACCTCACACATTTTTAGTGTATAAGTCAGTGGTTTTTAGTGTATTCCTACATTTGGGCAACTATCACTTCACTTTTTTCACCCCAAAACAATGATCTCTTAATCATTACCTCTCACTCCTCATTTTCCCTCAGCCCCCCACCACCTGAGGCAACTACTAATCTACTTTCTATCTATAGTTTTGTCTGTTCTGGATATTTTATATATATGGAACTATGAAACAGATGGTCTTTTATAACTGGCTTCCTTCACTTAGCATGTTTTTAGTATTGTAGCATGTATCAGTACTTCATTCCTTTTTATGGCTGAATAATACCTCATTGAATGAATGTGCCATAGATTTTGTGTGTCCATTCATTAGTTGGTAGACTTAAGGTTATTTCTACTTTTTGGCAACTGTGAGTAATACTTCTATGAACATTCTATTTTATGTGTGTGTGTTAGTGTGGAAAATATTTAACAATTTCTTGAGATTAGGGACTTTTACACTGTTTTGGCTTCTTATGAATAATACATGGGGAAGAATCCTTATCTAATGAATGAATTCAAAATAATATTACGAAAATATTATTTGTAGATGACTAATATAACCATAACTAGTTTCTTTTCTTTGTTTGCATTGTTTACTTTTTAAACTTTGGTTAGCTTTTTAAATATTCATGAGCAACTCATGAATATAGAACCATGAATTCTATTTTCATGATAAATCAGTCATTCAACCATTTTCTTTTTGTTTTTAAAAAATTTTTATTCAACTCTTCTGACAGGAGCTACTGATTTCTATGATTTATCACTTAATATAATTTGGCAACATACTTGATAAATTCTGTGAGAACCGTACAGCATGGTAGCTAGGTTATTCTTTGCTGCATGTATACACCTGCAGTTATTAAAATGATCAGATTCCATTTCCCCTTTTTAATGGATTCTTACTCCTTGGTCTCATCTCCTGTTAAGTTACTTAACTAAATCTGTCATTGGTATATGATTGAGAAAGAAAAATTCAGTTGTTTTTAAATCTAACCTTTTCAAATTATAATCTACATTTTTTAAAGTACCCATATTCAAATGAAAATTACTCAAATTCCTAGGTATGTTCAAGATCAATAAATCTAGAAAAAGCTTCAGAGTCTTTGAAAGGAAACATGGCTGCTTTTCTGAAGTAAGTACCTTTATTTTCTTTCTTTTTTTTTTTTTTTTTTTAACTTTAAACTTAGTCCTGTGAAAAAAGTATCTGTTACTACTTTTGTTTTTGTTTTGGGTGTCTTATAACCAGGCAGTAACTGGGGTTTGAGAACCCATTAAGTTCAAATTTGTGTAGCCATGTAAGATGTTAGGATTTTATAGTTACCTTTTTTGTGTATTGTGGCATTGACATCACAATTTTAAATAAGGACCGAAGGGAAATTTTAAAATCTATTTCAAACTATCATTATACAGTTTATGTAATGGTGGCTTTTTCAATCACTTATTAAAGTTCATTGATATGATTGTTTTTCTCAAACTAAATTATACACTTTTTTGTTTTACAATATTTCTTACTGATCTAGGAATGTGTGTCTGGGATTGGAAGATCTGCAGTATGTTTTCATGATTTCTTCACATGAGCTTTTCATTACATTGTTGAAAGATGAAGAACGAAAGCTACTTGTTGATCAGATGAGGAAGAGATCCCCTAGAGTAAATCTGTGCATTAAACCTGTAACTTCATTTTATGATATCCCAGGTTAGCTCTCCAGTCTGCCAGCTAAAATGTTGGCATGTTTTGTCCCTCTATTGAAATTACCATGGAAATATATTTGAGGATTCTCTCTTATTTGTTGTAATTAACACTTTTGTTGGTAATTAATAGAAATTCACCTGTCTTCCATGTCAGATTTCTGTATAGGCAGTTATGTGCGAGCTCTGCCGAGCCGATGATTAGTGCAGAATCAGGCCTAGATACGTGAAAGATTTTAGCTGGGGAAGTAGACCAAGGTCACACTGCTGCCAATATGTTCATGCAGGTAACAACAAAAACGGGGAGAGGAGTGCGAGAGATGCTGGAACCAGTAGGAGGACAGATGTTCCTGCATGTCAGTCTGTATAACTGTGCTAGTATCTGCTGGCCAAACAGCTTTGGCAGTATTGCCATTTTTGGCTTATTTGTTTATTTATTTTTTTTTTTTCCATTTTTGCCTTTACAAATACAAGCAGAAAATACAATGCTATTTTAAAATAAGAAACATAAACTTCAAAATTTAGTATAGATGAGAGAGAATTCAGTTGGTTTTACAAAAGCACAATTTTAGCTTCTTTGACCTTCACTAGATTTAAACTGGTTGACTGTCCAGTTGTAAAGGAAAAGGGTAAGGTTAATACATACAGAACTGCTGGAAATGCATACCTGAAGACTGCCTCTGATAGCTGAGCTGTAATTAGGGATTTGGGTAATTATTTTTGGGTCTCTGGGAAGAACATGCTCCCTTCTGTCTCGGAAACACATGCTTAATGTTTATTACTCAAAATTAACATTTTATAAATACTTTTGTTAGCATATTATGTTCAAAAGTAGGAATCTATGTTAATTCTTTTCATATATCCTGCATAGTTCTTTGCATGAAATTAATATTTTTATCTTGTTTATATTTTCATTATCTTTATTTTTAAAATGCATGCAATTAATAAATGTAGATATAACAAAATTGTGTTAGGTTATCTATGTGAGGTTAAAGTTAATATGTAATATACACTGTTGAGTGAATCAGTTCTCAAGATGATAGCAGCTTTTAATTTATAGATACAATAATTTGTCATTCTTATAGCTGTATCTTTCAATTAAATTGTTGAAACATAAATCTTTGTTTTAGCCTCAGCAAGTGTCAACATTGGTCAGTTAGAGCATCAACTTATATTGTCAGTGGATCCTTGGAGGATTAGACAGATTTTAATTGAATTACATGGTATGACTTCAGAGCGCCAATTCTGGACAGTGTCTAATAAGGTAAGAAACCCTTTGTCAAGACCAGATAAGAAAATTGCCCTTGTTATTTGAGATAATTTAATAGAAAAGCTGTTCACTGACCTTTTTAATAAGGACCTCTTTTGCTTAACAGTTTTAAGACCTTCACATGACCATAATTGCATTTTTAAACATCCATTGACAGAGAAAGTAGAAAATGTCAGAAACAAAAAGATACCATTGAGTAGCATCTAAAAATGAGTTTTTCCATTTGTTGACAAAATATCTACATGCATTTTGTTTATGTTTTTGAGATGGAGTCTCTCTTTGTCACCCAGGCTGGAGTATAGTGGTGCTGTCTTGGTTTATTGCAACCTCTGCCTCCCAGGTTCAAGTGATTCTCCTGCCTCAGCCTCCCAGGTAGCTAGGTAGCTGGGATTATAGGCACCTGCCACCATGCCTAGCTAATTTTTGTATTTTTAGTGGAGATGGAGTTTCACCATGTTGGCCAGGATGGTCTTGAACTTCTGACCACAAGTGATCTGCTTGCCTTGGTCTCCCAAAGTGCTGGGATTACAGACATGAGCCACCATGTCCGGCTGCATTTTAAATATAATTGTAAATATATGTAAATGTTATATTATTTATGCAGTCTGTAGCCAGTACATGCTGTGTGTTGTATAGGGTATTTTATTTTTGTTTTTTTGTTTTTTTTTTTTTTTTT